CACCAGGGCTTGGGTTTGGCCCCCGCGGCCTCCGCGCAGGATGCGGAGGAACTGGTCGGTGCTCTGCTGACTGATGAGGACGGTCTCGGCGGACGTGACGCAGCCGCTGGGGGAGGAGGAGGAAAAAGGGGGAAGGGAAAATTGAGCAAGGAGGCCGAGGGCGTCAGGGAAAGGGAGCACCGAGAGTCGCGGCAAGGTTGGCACGATAGAGCTGTAAGGGGAGAGAACGCCGCACCTGCAGGCGAGACAGTCATTCAGGGAGACAGAGGCCGCAGACCCCGGGCCTGTCGCTTTGATCAGGTCCGGTTTCACGGCCCCGCCCGCCTCCTCCACGTCCATCCAGGCCGCCTCCACCGTCACTTGGGCTCTGCCTTTGTCCTCATTTTCAGGAGCGGCGCTCCGCTGGGAGGGGGGCGTGGAGGTGTCGGTGGCGAAGATGGGGTTGACGCAGGCCTGGGAGGGGCCGATCACGTCGTCCAGATCCCCGAGGAAGACGCTAGCCATGGCCTGTGTGAAGCAGATGAGAAACGAGGGTAGCAGGATGAGAAATGTCGATGTGAAACGGCTGCATGTCATGAAAAAAGAGGCATATTAGACTCTCGACCGTCCCCGCGGCAGCAGGCAGGAGGTTAGCTACACTCCTAGGGTGGGAGGTACTCGGGCTGCATTTAGGATACCTTTCTTCGTCGACGTGCGTCTGGTCACCCTCAGGCATCACTCACAATGATCACGAGAGGGCAAAGTCTGTCTCTCGGCCGTTCATCTCCCGTCATCCGTTCTCCCTCCGCCCTCCCGCCCTCCCTCCCAGGCCCGTGCATGCGCCCCGCCGGCCTCGTCAGGCTGCCCTCCTCCCGACGGCCCTTAGTTTCCGTACTTCTCGCATTGTGCATGCTCACAAGCCTTGTGCGCGCTACCTTCGTTCCAAGACATAGCCAAAGAAGCACGCTAGCTACCGGTCTTCTTTTCGCCCGCTCCCCCGCCTCGGCCGTCGACGCTCCCTGTGGGCGATTCCGCCGAGGTGAATGCTCTCTGCACGTAGCTTGCACGACACACGCATGGCACTCACCCTCCCGATCGACCTCTTTTCACCCCTTCCAGCCCTGCCTCGAACCAGCATGGCCGCCTCCACCCGTTCCGATGCCCCCTCGCCCAAGGTACGCTCCCTCCCTCCCTCCCTCCCTCCCT